AAAGGGGGAAAGGAAATGGGAGGGGTAGGGGAAAGGAAAGAAGGGAATGGAATTAATATGAGAAAATGAAAAAATGGAAACAAAGTGTTTGTAAATAGGGAGGGATGGAGGAGTTGAAGGGAGGGCAGGGGAAGGGGGTAAAAATAAGAACCAAGAGATATTACGTAAGGCTGCAAATTTCCAATGATGAATGTCATTATATTGTATACATAAAATGTACCAATAAAATTCATTTTTAAAAAAACATACAAATATACACGTACAGTATTAGCTAGCTTTCCATTGCACAGACAAAATACCTGACATACACAACTTAAGAAAAAAAATTAGGTACAGACCATGGGAACTTGACAGTTCCAAACACCAATATCAAAATGACCTTTGACTTAAAATATAAAACGTTCACCAATTAAATCACAGGGAAAACATGCAATGATCTAATCAAAGCTTAGAGTGGCTTATTATAGAATTAGAGATAGTTAGAAATAAATAACAACAGCAAGTTAATTTCTTCTCCAAGATATAACAAAGATTCCCCAGAAAGGCATGTAGCTTTGTACAGCAATTGCCTTTCCTTTTGTAGCAGTTGCCCTCTGTATCTTACAGTAAATCTCGCTAGCTGATTGTTGCAATAACTGAGTCAAACGCAGACTGCGACTCCAAGCTAAGAAGGGCTGAGCCTTTCTACTCACCGTTCTCGCTCCTCCTTCATCTTCTCCAGCTCCTCCTCTCTCAGGCTCCCTTGCTTTGGCGGCGCACTTTTCTGCTCAGCTTTTGAACTCTTAGCGTCTTTCTTCTTTCCAAATCTGCTGAACGTGAAGGGGAAGATGGTTAGTGGCAATCATGTTGTTTTTGTAGTAAACTCATGATATATGTGAGGTGACTTCATTAAGCCATAATCCTTTATTCTAAGTCGTATAAGATCAGTTGCATAAAATGGAAGTAAAATAATGAAAGCAGAAAAGTAATATAGATATTGAATTTCCCTTTTCCTCTCCTTTCTTTGCTTTCTTCTTTTCACACATATTTATTACGCACTAGGCACAAGATCATGTGATTAAAAGATTGATAATTTTAAATTGTTAATTCAGTAGATAGTGAAAAGCTTAAAGATTATTAACATATAACGGAAGACTGACAGATTTTCTTCTTTATGCATTGTGTAGCTTTATTCATGTGTATTACTGGTACAGATGATTGGGTTTCATTTTGGTATGTTTGTAAAAGCATATAATATATTTTGGTAATTCCTCTCCCCCCCTTTATACTTCTTTCCTTTCTTTGGTCAGTTTTCACAAATAACTCCTTCCTCTCCCCTCTCCCTTATTCTCTTCTTCTTTGTTATTTTAAGGATTCTATATATGAGAGAAAACATAGTACTTGTCTGAGTCTGGCTTATTTTGCTTAACATGATAATCTCCAGTCCCACCCATTTTCATGACAAGATTTTTCTCTCTTTAGGACTGAATAGTACTCCACTGTGTATATATACACAACATTTCTTTCTTTTTTTAAAAATTTCTTTTATTGGTACATTTTAGGTATACAACACAATTACATTTCTCATTGGGAACTTGTACCTTTACATGATACATCTTGGTTCTTATTTTTTCCCCATTCCTAGC